CGTTATTATTTTCAGCATATCCTATCGCAGAAACTAAACATAATATTAGTAATCCTCTTGAAAGAGTCATTTTTATTATTAAATTTTTGGATACAGTTATTAATGTCGCAATTACATTAGAACTAAAAGAAAATTTCTAGGGAAAAATAATCAACTTATTATTATTTCTCCCTCTCTATCTCTTCTTCACTTTCACAAAAGTTAACAATCAGTTCGTTCGAATCGAAGAATAGTGTAGCGCAGGGAAAAAAGCAACACATCGGTCGCAGTTACGGGATGAGAAATGAAGGCGGGAAAAAGGAGTCCAACGATTAGGGCGGTGTGAGCAGGGGGCGTTGTTGTGAGAACACACGCGAGGGGGGGGGCAAGAAAAGTACATTTCGAACATCGGAATGTGGCGAAATAAAAATTTAACGAAAGGAATTGAATCGAAGTAAATCACAATGATAAATTATAGGTGAATAAAGAATCCTTTATCGTTTGCATTTTTCTTTTCTTTTTTTTTTTAGTTCGACGAATATTTTGTCTTCCCGTGTATAACGCAATTCATTTCTCATTTCAAGCCTCTTAAATCGAATGAAAAGTTTGTTCTTAAATTATTACCCTCGTAAGAGTCGAGAAATAATTACTGCAAGTAAAATGAATTTTCGTTTCTCTACGTTTTAAAATATTTGTTTTGGACATTTTCAAAATACAAAGCAGTTTTGGAATCTCTTCGTTACATTTTTATCGATACTTTAAATTCTTGTTATGAAGTTAAATTTCTTGTAAATTTTTTCTAGCGGAACATTTTTTTCTTCTTTTCTTTTCTTTTTGTAAAAACAAGTAATATTTAAAAAAAAATTGAAGTCAATTCGTACTTGGATCAACAAATAGTAATTTTATATTAGTTACTTTTTGTAAAATAATTTAAAAAACTTCTTCCATATAAATCTAAAATTAATTAAATTTAATTAATGGATTAATATTTGAAAAAAAACTGTATTAACATAAAGTGTCCTCCACTAAAAAATGTATTTGAACTTGTAGGGATGGATGATTAAAAAGTATTTTATTAAGGATTGAAAATATGAACAAGATATACGGAGAGTGTCAATTAACAGTAGAGGAAATTCTAGAGAATATTTGCAAAAAGCACTTGTATGCAAACAATACCAATAATCAGTTTGATGTAAGCATGTCAATATTAGAAGGAAAAAAAATAGAGCTCAGATTTACAATCCTTTTGCTATGCATTTGACAATTCATAAAATTTGACATTTCCTAGAATCTGACATTTCAAGAAATTAATTCTAAAATACAGATGAGCCTATTTTAGAATGATACAGATGCGCATTGCTACAAACTTTAATTTGAACTTTAACAATATGATTCTTTTTATCTTATCAACCGAAAAAAAATTCAGAATTGCTGAAATTTGCGATAAATTTGAGTTCAAATCAAATTTTTACCCTAAAAAAATATGGAGCTAAGAGCTGGAAATCCCAAAAGCTGGAGTTATTATCAAATTCCTGTTAGTATGGTCTTGCGTACATCGGACAAACTAAATACATACTTAAATTTGGTTTTAAGAACGCGAGAGATGTATTCAAAATTAGAATATTAAACGACTTTCCATTCTGAATCATAGGTTTGAGTTTTCTTCCGTTGAAATCATTAATCCAAAATCGAGGTCGTCTACCTACCTCGATTTCTGGGAATCACTTTTCTACTGCCACTTTGTGTTAAGCCGCGTGGCAGAATCGTGGTGACACGGTGACATTGTAACAGAATATTACACAGGGTGCGTAGCGTTTTTAAAAAGTGCTTAAAGGTGCTTAGTTTTGATTTTCGTTTTTTAAAGGTCATTAAAGGTGCTTTTTTCATTGGGTGTTTTTAAAAAGTGATTAATTTTCCCTTTTCTAAAATGAGATTTTTCCCTTACTATGTTGATGTTCGCCACGAATTATGCAGAAAGACATTGTTCACATTGTTCAATTCAACGTTTTCGCAATTAATTCAACCCCAATCTATTTCGGTGCATCGTCAGTCCGTAGCGCATGAAAACGCCATTCGATTTACATTATTCAAAAATTTTGACAACTGTCAAAAACAATGATAAAAGGTTTTTTTTTTTCTTTTTTGACATGACGGTTAAAACCAGCTAAAACCGTCAGTTGTCAAAAACTTTCCAACCCTACCTAATTATTATATTTTTTAAAGTGCTTAAAAATATTATTTGAGTGCTTGAAAAGTGCTTAAAAAGTGCTTATTTTTGGTTGAATAATTTGGCTACGCACCCTGTTAGAGAATTCTTGCAGGAGGATTTTTTCTTTGGGAAATAAAACATTTCGCTTTTCTTTACTGCAGATATTTTCGAAAGATTTTATCTTTCTTCAGAATTATATTCAAAAGATGCCTTTCTCGCGCATCGGAGTGGGGGGAAAAATTTGTGTGATTTTTCTATTCTCATTTGAGAATAATGAGGAAAAAAATTTGGTTTTCTTTTCTGTATAAATTTCCGTTCTATTTTTCCATGCAGTTATTACTACTGATTTCCACATTGCTTTTAACATCCGATATTATTTACTACAAAAACTGTAATCTAGAAATGGAAACACGCATTTAGTAACTCTTTTTGAAGAGTTCGATTCGCGTGATTTCGAAGTCGATCTTTTTTTTTCGGTAGTTACAGCTACAGATTTCACAAATTTTTTTAAAAATGTAATAATGAATTACAAAATGCGCAGAAAGGAACAGAGTGGCCACCCACCTGGAAAACCTGGAATTATCAGGGAATTTTTTATACTGGAAAAAACCTGGAAAAGTCAGGGAAATTTGGATAAAAATCAAGGAATTTCAAAGAAAAACTGGAATTTTTCTCTTAATTTAAATTATTTTACCATCCGTTATATCCACTTTTTTTAGACGTAAATTTATCTTAAAAAAGTTTAAATACCATCAACTCAGCAATATTTTTCTTGCATTAAAATTCTCTTCATTATTACCCTGCTAAACTAGAATGCCATTTCAAACTTTTACACGTTGGGAAATGACTGGAGAAACTGTTTAGGAATGTGGCGGATGTGGATATGTTGTGGATGTGGATTGGCGGATGTGGATTTCTATTTATAAAAGTAAAGTTTTTTTTTTTAAAAAAAAATCTTCTTTTAGTCCTTGGGCTGAATTCATTAATTGATCTAGTTTGTTCCTCTGCTTTGGGGGTATTTTATTATTTTAACAAAATTATCGTGAATGTTTTAGTATTTTTAACTTCATAAAATTCTCCAAAATATAATTGGTTATAATTTAATTTGAGATTTTATCTTACACCCTTTTTCTAAAAGCTTTTGTACTCTCATCTAATGAATTATTTTTTCTCAGCAAAGTCAATCAATCGCTAATTACGAAATTGTTACAATTGTTGCATTGATGCTGATTTTCTGGATTTCATGATAACTTTTATTTTGATATTTCTGAAACTGTTTCTCCTTTTACCCTAAAAAGCTGGCAAAAACCAAGGAATGTATGGAAAACATGTTAAATGATATATGTGGGAATACAACCTTTACTGCAGCAGCGCCACCCCACTTTTGTAACACTTCAGCCATAACGCTCAGACAGAGCGGTTGTTTTATATCTTTGGTTATTTTTTTCATTAAATTTAATTATTACAAAAGCGTAGTTATTTCAGCTATACCTGACGTCAACCTCCACATATATAAACACAGAAGAGAAAATTTTTTTTTTATTAATTTGCCTATTCGAAAGAAGGAAAACGAAACTTTTTTTTGTTGTTCAGCACTGTACAGGTTTCAAGTGGAGGAACCAGATGGCCAAATTTTTAAACTTAATATTAAGTGAACAAGGTCTCATTTCCAAAGTAAAAAATTGAACATTTAGAAATAATTATTTTTAACTTATGAATATCAGTTTTCAATAAGTTATTGGCTATTAAATGAGGCTACATCATTTGAAATTTTCAACCGTGGTAAGGGAATCTGTAACAAGGTCCTGTTTTTTTTAAAAAAACAATTCACACTAATAATAGAAAATGGAAAGAATAATAATTGAAGTAAACTATAGCAGAACAGGTTATCTTGCACAAATATGTAGAAACATTTCTCATTTTAATTTACAAAAACAATTCTCAAGATAAACTTTTGATGTTTTACGTGCGACACCAAAATACATAATTAATTGTACTGTAGCACTAGGATTTAATATAATCAAATTATTTTTTCTATTTAAAGCAAGATTTGATAATAATAAATATTTTTATTGTAAATTAATAGTTAATTATTTTCACACACCTCTCAGACACCACTGCTTTTCTTTTCATTACATTTGTTTATTTACTTTCATCTCTTATTTCACCTTTTCTTTATAAAATGAAGTAAAATATGAAGAGAGACAATATAAATATTCTTTAAGGTTAATTTAAAATTATGTATTTCACCTCAGTAATCTACTAAAATTTGTGCAACTTTAAGTTATTTATATTTTAACTTAAAATTGATCCATGAAGTCTTATATATTTTTTTAATTTTATTTTATTTTATTTATTTATTTGAGGTATGTCTCTCAGTTTTAATTTTTTTAGTAACAATTTAACTTCATTTAGAACATTTTAAGTCAATCATTTTGCTTAGAGCTTAAAAAATGTATGTATTTAGAGAAAAAAATTTTTGAACATTCTGTAGTTATTGATTTATTTATTATTATTTTTTTTTTTGAGTTAAGAAAAAATAGTTTTGTGAAAAAAAAACATTAAACCTGCTTGCATAGCAAACTACAACAATAACTCTCATCCTATTTAATGTTTAGATAAATAGGATAAAAATTATTAGTTATTTATTGGGCCTGTAACTGGTCAANATATTTGTTATTTTTAAAAGTATCTTGCAGAAAGCCCGAAAAAATTCTGCCTTGTTTAGAGACTATAATTTGTCCATCTATGTTCTTAATTTGTGTTTCTTTCACATTGTCTTGCTTTATTCAATGACCTTTAAACTCACAGAAACATAAAATAAATAATTTATTTATATAATATACATTAAGAGATAAATGTTCATAAATGTTATACATAAAGTCGAAAAAGACGATACGTGGAATGTTGCATCACTTATATGATGTTCTTCCAGGGTATTGTCAACGTCAGTAATATTTTTGTGGCCATCGTCCAGCGGGATGATCTCCTCCTCCTCCTCCTTGTGGGTGGGAGGCAGAGGGGGTCTGTCACATACATCAGGTGATTTACCGCACACCTGTTCCGATATGTGCGATAGGAGATTGTGAAGAATGATTGACACAACAAAAGTTGCATTGTCGTTGCAAAAGTCCCGAGTTATGTTCGTAAAGCAATCGTGGTACCAGGTGAAAAAGCTGAAAAATAATAACTCAAATAAATCATTGCGTTTAAAAAATAATAATTTTATAAAATAATATTATTATTTTTATTAGGCTTTAAACAAAAAACTGCACGGGACGGGGGACTTAGGGAGGTGATAGTTGTTTTATACCCTACGATAGTTTACACCCTACGTTTTTCGTGTTAGGTCTGGTAAAATTAAAATTTATTTCTCCTTTTTAGTCTGGTTAAAATTAAAATAGAATAATCCCCCTGACTGTAAATGCAAATTACGTAGTGTGCCAAAAATAATCAGTACATTGAAATGAAACACGGAAACAATATAGAAATGTATGTTTTGTTGTCTAGGAAACTAAATGATTTATTTTTACCCAGTTGCAAAATTATTTACAAAATTCATCCACAGAGGGCACTGCTGACCGGAATATTGTTTTCTGCTGCATATCAGACTATTTCAATTGAAAGTACTTGCAGGAATTTGTGTTTTGTCTTGCGCCACGTTGTAGCTGCAGTTAGTACTAATTTAGATTTTATTATTTTAATCGTTTTAATTTTGGGTCTCATAGTTAACTTATGTCAGAAAATAGTCGACATTTCGATTGATAATAAATTTCGATTAGGACTATTTAGAAAATAGTAAACCTTAGTTATCAAACACTTCAGCTCTGTTCTTTTACGAAAGGTTATGAATATAAAAATGTGTATGATACATTGAAATAAGATACGGAAGATTGTTGGTTCTGCTTGTATTTATTTTCTTTCCCCAAATGCACCGATGTATAATAATAATGTCCTTTATGGCATGAATGTTATACATAACAGCCACTTCACTCACTACTCTGAATCCCTTTCTGAACGAAATGTTAACACGGGTACTTAATGGAAATTTAAAAAAAATCTATCTACTACTCTAAACGTTATACGTTTTTACAGTTTAGTTTGGTGTTACGTGGTAATTGTGCAAACGGTGTGCTTTGTCTGCAAACTCTTTGTGGTTGCTTTTATTTATTTATTTTTAACTTTTAAAAGAACTTCGAGTTTCAAAGTGTTAAAATAAAAGTAATGTACTGCAAATTTCATAGTCAGTAAATATATCATCATCAGCAAATTATTAGTTTTTAAAGAATTAGTATTAGGCATACAAATAAGTTTTCGCCGTTTTCTATCAAAAACTAGCAGTTTATTGTGAAAAAACGGTACATTATCTTTTATTCAAAGTATTCTTCATAACTAGACACTAACTACTCTTTCCCAGCTTTCTGAGAGCATTCGAATACCACGACGGAAGAACTCTTCATTTTTCGAGGATATCCCACGAATGTCGATTCGTAGGATATCCTTGGTTTTGTGGCGTAACTACCACTACAAATATTAAATACACACTAAGTAACCCATTAATGAAATTTTGCTTATTAGAATTTGTTAAAATAGCAATATATTTGAAATATATTTTAAAACTATAAAAATCAATAAAAGAGTTTAAACAATCTTATATGAAAATGCTTTGTAAATTTTTAAATAGATGATTTTTTAGAGAAAAAAAAAGTTTGATTTAAGTCAAACTAACTTAAATAAACCAAATCTGGTTTGTAATTAAATACTTATAATTTAGTCAGCAAGTGAACTAACTTGGATAAGTCGCAAATATGTAAAAAAAAAATAATTCCGCAAAATATATCTTAAGATTTGGGTTAATAGTTATATTATCCATTATACGAAGTTAAGCTTAATAGAATTTTTTTAGAACCTTTCTCAGTTAGTCTCCCCCCACACCCACCCAACGAGATCAAATAAACTTGCAAGTATATTGTAGTATGTCTACCTCTACAAAATTCCAATTCCAATTCAATTGTATCTAAGACACGGTCTATATACGATCGATTCTATGGTGGGGTACAAGAGCGACCACGACCGTGAACTTAATACAGCTCTCACGATCAGCACCAAAAAAGTACGGTGATCTTAATACAGTTCTCCCGACTTCTCACAGAAACAGCGTTGAATCGACTAGTGGTATTCGTTCATCGAATTCTGTCACAGATATAATTCTTGGTGGGGGAGTACTGTAGTGTGTCTACCACTACAAAATTACAATTCTGATTCACTAGTATATAAGACTTGTTAACTTGATTCCATCTTAAGGTACTTTTTGGCAGATGAAGGTTGACATAGTCGATAAATTGAATCTCCTCAGTTTCGTCAAATGATGTTAATTTCTACTCAGACAGACCATTTGCCATCGACCGGAATAGGTGATAATCTGAACAGGCAAGGTCTGGCGAATATGGCGGGTGGGCTGGGACTTCCCATTGAAGTGTTTTCAAGTAGAAAAATCAATTTTCATGCAAAATTGATGTTCAATGTCTCTTGGCTTCAATTTGTATGGAACCAGACTTCCTTGTTTTTGAAACATTCCCAACGAGTTTAAACGATGTAAAATTGCTTGCTGAGTCACTTGTAATATAAGAGTAAGTTCTTTTTGTGTTTGGAACAAATCTTCCAATTCTTTGTCTTCCATGTCAAACTCATCTTTTTTAAACTTCTGAAACCACTCACGACAACTTCTCTCCCTTAAAGCAGCCTCACCATTCGCTTCTCCGAGCAATCGATGCGCCTCAGTTGCAGATTTTTTTCAAATGAAAGAAAGAAATCCAAATTTCCGGGAAATGACGCTTATTTGGTACAAAACTTGAAATTTTTGCACGAAAACAGTTACGTAATGGTAATACGGAATCGCTAATACCTTAAGGTAATGTTGTTAATAGATGAACAAACTTACAATAAAACGTTTAGCACCAGTCAATTTCTACATAATCTTTTTGAAGTGCCATTTTGGGACGAACGGTGAGAACTTATTTCTAAACCCAATAGTATTAAATTAGTAGTGTTAGAAATTAGCATTATTTTTTACCTAAATTAGTATTTTTCCCAGGGCTTTTATCAGATTATTATTTTTATGATTCGTCATATAATTTTATCTCAAACTGTGCGTAAAACTTTTCGGAACAAGTTCATTGTTCGAAAAGAGAAACCAATGAATAAGATTGATTAAAAAAGGAAGGAAGTAAATTATATATTATTTTATGCAATGTATGTTATTTAATAAAATCCTTTCAAATGCAATTTTATTTTCGAATTATTGATTTCATCTTATTTATTTGTTTATTCATTTATTTTATTTATTTATTTCAATACCGTAAATTAAATTCTATTAAAATAGCAATAGTTAATTAAAATAGTTGAATTCTTCAATTCAATGTATATTATTTAATAAAATCCTTTCAAATGTTATTTTATTTTTTAATTATTGATTTCATCTTATTTATTTGTTTATTCATCTATTTTATTTATTTATTTCGATACCTTAAATTAAATTCTATTAAAATAACAATAGTTAACAAAAATAGTTGAATTCTTCAATTCAATGTATGTTATTTAATGAAATCCTTACAAATGTTATTTTATTTTTTAATTGTTGATTTCATCTTATTTATTTGTTTATTCATTTATTTTATTTATTTATTTCGATACCGTAAATAAAATTCTATTAAAATAACAATAGTTGAATTCTTCAATTCAATGTATATTATTTAATAAAATCACTTCAAATGTTATTTTATTTTTTTAATTATTTATTTCATCATATTTATTTATTTGTTCATTTATTTTATTTACTTATTTCGATACTGTAAATGAAATAGTTAATAAAAATAGTTGAATTCTTCAATTCAGAGTATATTATTTAATAAAATCACTTCAAATGTTATTTTTTATTTTTTTAATTATTTATTTCATCATATATATTTATTTGTTCATTTATTTTATTTATTTATTTCGATACCGTAAATAAAATTCTATTAAAATAAAAATACTTGAATTCTTCAATTCAATGCATATTATTTAATAAAATCCTTTCGAATGTTATTTTACTTTTTCAATTATTGATTTCATCTTATTTATTTGTTTGATCATTTATTTCATTTATTTATTTCGATACCGTAGATAAAATTCTATAAAAATGAAAATAGTTCATAAAAATAGTTGAATTCTACAATTCAGTGTATATTGTTTAATAAAATTCCTTCAAATGTTATTTTTATTTTTTTAATTATTAGTTTCGTCATATTTATTTATTTGTTCATTTATTTGTTCTTTTATTTTATTTATTTATTTCGATACTGTAAATAAAATTCTATTAAAATGAAAATAATTAATAAAAGTACTTGAATTCTTGAATTCAATGTTTAATAAAATCCTTTCAAATGTTATTTTACTTTTTTCATTATTGATTTTTCATCATATTTATTTGTTTATACATTTATTTCATTTATTTATTTCAATACCGTACATAAAATTCTATTGAAATAAAAATAGTTGAGTTCTTCAATTCAATGTATATTATTTAATAAAATTCTTTCAACTATTAATTTTATTTTTTTAATTATTTATTTCATCACATTTATTTGTTCATTTATTTTATTTATTTATTTCGATACCACAAATAAAATTCTATTAAAATAAAAATAGTTACTACTTTTTAAAAGAAATTTGTAAATATAACTTAGCTTTATCATATTTTTTTACTAGTATTCTAAAATAAGCGATTTCTTCATGAAAAAAAAATGTATTCCAATTCTAATTCTCACATAATGATCGCTTGGTGACTTCTTAATGTTCGAATAAGCGATTTTCAATTTCAGAAATCTAAATAATGTTACAAATCGAAACTTTAAACGAGAAATAAGTGAAATACTTTTGTATCGTCGTTTGTTTTTTTTATCCTTTTATAGTTGAGACAAGAAATTGCATTTTAATGCAAAAATGATGATGATGATTAAGATTGTAAAAACTAACTCTCTCATAGACGCATGAAGTTCTACAGATTATTTATTTTTTATGGAAAGAATATCCATATAAACAAGTAATATGAAAAAGAATTCAATTCAATTCCTACTAAGGTCAACAAAGAAAAATTTTATTTCAGTTTCTTTTTATTAAGCAATTAAAATTTTTTCTCCTGTATAAAACTGAAATTTATTAATTAAATTTAATTAAGGAATTAATGTTTGAAAAAAACTGTATTAGCATCAAGTGCCATCTACTACAAGTTTGAAAGAATGCATTTGAACTTAAAAGGATAAATAAAAAGCATTTTATTAACGATTGAAAATTTGAACCAGATATAGGGAGAGTATGAACTAATAGTAGATATCGAATAAAAACATATTTATTGCAATTTATTATTTTTAATATTGTTATTTTAAATTTGATTTTATATAGCGTTAAATTTAACGAAAACGCCAAAACCTAAATAAGAGTGCTATTATTTTATTTTAAAGCTATTCTAATAGCAAAATGTAAAGGGATCTTAAAGGTTTTTCTTATTACAATTTTTAATATTTTTGGTGCTCTGCTTTATTTTGAGAAATTTGAGATCATTTATAATATTATACTAAAATAAAAAAACTAGACCCAAAAATACTGAAAACAGGAAAAAGCATCTATTGTTTAAATTGGAAATATCAGCAAGCTTTGCTGAAAGTACACAATTTTTCTTATCCTTTGTTTTTCAATTCACATTTTTTTTACCTGTCTTGCAAAATTACTCGATTTCTTATAAATCTATTCAGTTGAAACTTGATAAATAGTTTGCGCAAGGCATGTTGCTTAAATTTATCCTAGTACTTGAATATTGGTAAATATTTTGCATATTCAGGGGTAAGGAGGAGTCAGAATAGTTTTTTTTAATAAAAATCTAAAAAAGTTAAGGAAAACGTTTTTTTTTTTTCTTAAATTAAAAAATTGTTTTTTATGCTCCGATTTCTGCGAGATACGATGGCTTTAAAAAGGGCATATTTTACGACTTTTTTAAAATTGTTTTAAGTCATTAATACGATTTTTATGATTTTAATCGTGAACGTAAGACGTTTTAATATCTTTTTTCCTTCAAATTTTAACTCTAAAAAATTTAATTTAAAAATATCTTGGTATTATTTCTCAAAAAAAAAAGTATTCCAAAGTTTAACTCCAGTAAATAAAATCAGAATCCTAAGTTGTAAAAAAATCGCTTAAGATATTATAATTGATAGAAATTTTATACCACACTACTGGAAAAAAATTGCTGAGCCCTAACTTAGTTCACTGTTATTAATATTTGCACCATTCTTTTGCAAAATGATCTTTGAATCCCCTCTCTTACACATTACCCACAGTTTTCTGCGTTAACCGATTCCCACGAACATGAGTCCAGCGCCCTACCAACCAGGCTATCCCAGCCCAGCAGACATTTAGCTGAAGAATATGAATTTTCTAAAATTCCAAAATTATTTTATTAACCGCCAGGAATAAATGACAAATATATATATAT